TCCCTGTGCCCTCCGTCTGTTCTCCACATAAAGTGATGTTTTCCGAATATGAACCTGACCACCTCTCCACTGCCTAAAGTTCAGGCATCAAGGTCAACCTCAATTAGCCAGAGCTAAGCACAAAAGACTAGTTTAACTTGTCTTTGATTGTCTTTCTTTTTTGGCTTTGGGTCCCCTCCCTTTTTTCTTTTTGAGACAGGGTCTTGCTATGTTGCCCAGGCTGGAGTGCAGTGGCATCATCTTAACTCACTGGAACCTCAAATTCCTGGGCTCAAACAATCCTCCTGCCTCAGCCTCCCAAGTACCTGGGACAACATGGCAAATATCACCAACACCAGGCTGGTTTTTGTTTTTTGGTAGAGATGGTGTCTAGGGCTATGTTGCTCAGGCTTCTCTCAAAGTTCTCATCTAAAGTGATCCTCCTGCCTCTGCCTCCAAAAGTGCCAGGATTACAGGCACAAGCCATCTTTGACTGGTTTCGTTGTGGGCAAAGACTCAGCAACTCATGAAACGCGGGCATCTTTTCTTGGGAGCTTCTGGGAAAGGTATTCTTGGACTTCTAAAAAGATCCCTGGAAGAAAGGGATATCTTTCGTTATGCGCTGATGTGCTGGGAATGGCGGCAGCCATCCTATAAGTGCAATTCCAGAGGCTGCAAGTGAATCATGTTCTATCACGTGATGGAAATGCCTCGGCTGCCAAGTCCGTTTGACTTGGGTTTTCCAGCATCTGCGGGTGATAAGCACTCTGATACCGGTGTGTGTCTGGGGCAGGCGGGGCCGTGTGGGCAGCTGGATCTGTGCATCTGAAGCTCAGTGGAGAGACTTGCGCTGGCGAATTGCTTATGAGAGCCCTCAGAGGAAACGGAAGCTCAGGAGGGATGTGATCAGAAAAAAAGGTTGGGAGGATGACAGCTTAGAAGACTTGGGGGAAATGGGGTCAGAGAGGTGCGGAGGGAGACCACCTGTGGCAGGAAGAAAGGATTTCCAGTTTATCTTACCTTTTGTATTAAGACTCATAATATTGCTAGGTATACCCTAAATTGGGCAAAAGGAAGCGGTTTAGGCGTGTTTTCAGCTGGGGAGAGGAAGTTGGTTTTCAGAACCAACCCTGGGGTTTAGTATCAGGAGAAATCTGTCTTCCTGCCATTTAATAAATCAGTCATTCACCAGAATCTCAGAAGCAAACAACCAACCTAGTCAGAGTGTTTCTCTTCCGCGTGTGAGACACTGTTATGTGCTGACACAGACACGGGTCAGTGCTGCTGGTGTCCAGAGAGCGGATAGAAACTTGGCGGGGGTATTATCACAGGTGTTGAAGATGGTGGTGTCAGAGACTAGAGGGACATCCCACGGGGAGGCACCACCGTAAGGAAAGGATTGGAAGGAAGGAATCATCTTAACTCACTGGAACCTCAAAGTCCTGGGCTCAAACAATCCTCTTGCCTCACGTTCCCGGAATTAGGCTAGAGACAGGCCCCCAAGGGAAAGGTGATGGTAGGTCAAACTGAGGGCTTACGAGGCAAAAACAAAAACCCCAGGAGCTACAGAGGTTCTCACGCTCCAGCATGCACCAGGGGCACTTGTCTATGACAAACGTAGAATCCTGGTCCTTCTAGGGTTGGGGCTCACGTGCATTTTTAAAAGTCTCCTCTGGCCGCTAGTGCCTGGGCGGGGAGCTCCCTTCGGTCCTTGCCTCCGCGCGCTCTAATATAGAAAATGGACGTTTCTCAAAGTTAGCCGAGCGGTCTCCCGCCCGACGGCTTCTGCAGCCCGTGCCGGTCTGCGGGACCCCACGTAGCCGACCGCAACAGGGAATCTGCTCCGGGCCTCCAGCCAGGATAACTGGGCAGAGACCGGCGGTCCCCGCCTCCCTGAACGACTGCGCGGTGGGCGGGTCTCTATGATGACTGGCGGACGCTATGACCAATTATGCCCCGGCGCTTGTTTGTTTCCGCCCATCCCTCCCCGTGGGCTGATACTTCAGTGACTGAAAGTCCCGGGTGATGTTACGTAAGGGGAGGGTCAAGTGCGGCCCCGCCCGAACAGAGCTAATTTGATTGGCAGGACAGAATGTGGTCCTCCCACCGCCTCCCGGAAGAACGTCTTTGACGGGCAGGTGTAGGAGCCAGTTGGCGCCGGGAGGCTGGGCGGAAGCGTCTGGGTCCAGGGGTGTGGGGCAGGGGGCGGAGCCCGACGCCGAGGGTAGGGCAGGGCGGGGCGGGGAGCGGTCAGGGGCCGGGCTGGCGCAGCGGCAGGAGATGCTGTCGGGCCGCGGCAGCGCTCGGGAGCTGGGAGCTCTGCCTTGAAGGCACGGAGCGAGGCGTACTGCCCGGCAGGCTGGTAGGTAATCAAGGTCTGAAGAGTCTGATGAATCAGAGCCGCCAGCCTCTTCGGGCCCGGCATTTGTCTGCCCTGCCAGGCGTTCGCCACTCTGCGCGACGGCGGCCGCGCTGGGACATTGAGGCCGGGTTGGGCACCTGTGCGCGTTTGCAGGCACCTGCTGCGCCTGCCGCCTCGGAGCCGCAGTGGGGGCTGCGGCACTTGCTCTGCCCGACGGGCCGGCCCGAGGCAGGGAGGCGGTCCGCCCTGGCTCGCCGGGTCTCGGTCCCGCCCTCCCTGATTCTGGTCTCCGGCTCCGCGCACTGGCTGAGGGGGGCGTCCCGGAGGCCCTCAGCCCCCCCACTGAAGGGGCTCAGGGGCCCCGGGCCGTTCTCAAGCTAGCTCGGAAGCCAGAACGTGGCCCCCTCCTTGCATCACCTCGAGACAGGTTTGTCCAGATTACCTGCGTGCTGAGAGACGGGTTTCCGCCCGGGGCGAGGGTGCCCGTCCGCTGCTGCGGGTCTTGACTGTCCCCAGCGAGCCTGGCCGGGGCGGTATTTCGTCTTTTTTCCAGGCTCTGCCCTGTCCCCTCTTTACATGGAACTGCTTAAGCCTGTTTCGGGATGCTGTATCAAGTTAGTGCCTGTGGAGGTACCAAGGCACATAGGAGGGACAGTAGTCCCCACGTCTAGTTTTAGACCGACTCTTCAGGCCGCAGACCAGACTTTTCAGCTGCGTGTTATAGAGGGGAGTGCAATTCACGTTTTGTTCTCGGGGCCATACCGGCAGAAATTCTAAAATTGTTTCTCAGTTACAAGGATGTAGCCTGTGCCTTCCTTCCATAGATGTCATTCTTACTGGAACACGTCATGCTTTGCCTGTCGTAGACTAGGGACGATGGTGTAGTTAATTCCTGAAAAGTGTGCTGCAGTTTCTCGTGATTATGTTGCTGCTGAACTTGGATTAAAAGATCCATTGCAAAGTGGGGCAGCAATAGATGATACTGCCTGCTTAATACAGGAAGAATTGGGGGCACGTTTTACTGGATTCTTAAAGGTGAAGTCATAAGATCATAACGTGTTATAGACTTGGAAGTTTACAACTTTGCTCCACCCCAGTAAATTTCTGTGGTGGGGAGCACCAAGGGGTTGGTGTTCCCTGTAGAGGACAGTGGGTTTTATGCATATTGCTGCTAGATCTGAAAATCAGTGTATTCAGAATACTCAGTGACACAGATCAGCTTTTTTTTCCGTTTGGGCCAGACAGCAGTGTACCCCCATAATTTTTGATGTCCCAACTGTTTTTGATGTGTCATTGCCACCTTTAAATGCAGATTTTCACAGAGCTTACTGGATGTAAGTCAACATGTTAGTGGAAAAACAAGGATCCACATTCCTGTGTTTTAATTACTGGGTGGCATTATCTCTTGGAAAGCAAAATAGCAGTAATAGGCATTGGTAAGGTAGGGAAGTCCTGGTTTCCACCCATGGATGTCGTAGGCTCCCAAGAGAAAACAAATTGTTACTGATTAGGGACATTTAGTATGTGGTCTGCTAAAGATGTGCTTCTTAAGAATTTAAGAAAATGAAAAAAAAAAAGAATTTAGGAAAATGTTACTAAGTTCAGACCTTCTTCACCTTCAGCCTTGTGATTGGTGCAAGTAGGCATTTAGGGAAGGAGCCCTGCTTTCAATGTACCAGAGTCTGGGTGAGAGCAGCACCAGAGCAGAGGAGTGCTGTTCTTACAGCTGGGCTTGGCAGCTTTTCCTTTGCTTCTTTATATTTTTAGCAAATGACCTACTGACTTTGTGACCTTTGAGACATGGTTTCTTAGCCACTACTTGGAGCTTTGGGTTAAAGATCTGTGTGTGTGTGCGAAATGTCTCTTTGGGGCTTCTCTTGGGCGTTTCTGTTGCTTGGCAGTTCTTTTAATGCCTAATTCCTGTAGAGTTTCTGTAATTTTAGGATTGAAAAAGGCAGTTTCTTGAGAATCTGACAGGACTCAGATAACCCCTATCGTTCCCTAGTGACTCTACCTTTTCTGTTTTTTATTTCCTTGGCTGCTAGCCTTACTGGAGGAATTATTTTGTCCCTAAATGAGCTGAGACAACTTTTTGAATCAGCCATCTTGAATCTTTATCTTTTGTTCCCATAACCCTGGGAACTGTGATGCAGCCTGTGTGTGTGGGTACAGTGCATTCTGAATCCGTCTTTCCCATTAGTTAGATGCCTAGATATGCCAGTATCAACTGTTGTCTGTATTTTCTGAATTTCTGGCACAAAAGGTGATCTGTGTCATTGAATATTCTGAATCCTGGTGAGGGCTCTGATGCTCAGATTCTTGTAGATGCCTAATGTTGCAAAAGAAACTCCCAGGAGAGGGTCTAGAAGGAAACTATTTCTGAAGGTGCCTGAAAACATTTTCCCAGGGTCTTTTGAACTATATCTTATATACTACTATATTGTATCTCTAGGGCAGTGATTTTTCAACCAGGGTGCCTCAGCACCGGTGTGCTGTGACAGAATCTTAGGTGTGCCATGAAAATTTTTAAAGATCATTAAATTATTTTCCAAAGAATTTCAAAGCACAGTAAGTATATTCTTTTTTCACTCTTTTTGTTGATTAACATAATTTAAGTGTGCCACAGAAGTTTGACTATAGGTTCGAGTGTGCCGTGAGATAAAAAACGGTTAAAAAATACTGTTCTAAGGTATCATACTTACTTCTTAATCACTTCAGAAGTCTTACTAAACTGTTGGTGTTGGTATGTTTCTGTGTTTACCATCAAAGGTAAAGTGAATGCTGAGGACGGAAGACTTTAATGACACAGACCACTGAATTTCTTTGTTTGGAGTACAAGTTATGAACCCTTTCTGGAGCATGTCTGCAAGCTCTGTGCGCAAAGTAGGTATAGTCAACAAACGTAGTCAGGGAACCCATTTGCTTTTCTGTCAGAACACAGGCTGAAATAACCCAGACCGAGGCTGTCTACACTCTTCACAAAATTGCCTAGTTGTTCTGGTTTAGGTTTTACTTTTGAGAAATATTTTGTTAACATCAGTTTCTGAGACTGAGACTGCATCTCAATTAGAAATTGTTCTAGTAATCCCAGTTCTTTACATTTACACATGATGACATTTGCGACATTGAGTAGTTTTTCTACTAAGTGTCAAGGTTCTGTGGTTAAAACAGCTTTGAGAAAGGCCAGTCCAGTGTGATCAGGTCAGACTCGAGAGGCCCTAATCTGATTTTTCTAAATAAAATGATTTTTTAAAAATACATTTTTATTTTAGGAAAGCTTGAAATATATAAACAATAAGGAAATTAAAATAACCCACAACCCCACTCTGAAAGAACATCACTATTTTTTCCATGCACATGACATACATTTTTAAAAATTCAGATTACTATGAGGGTACAAGTGATAAGGTCCCAGAGTTTGCATTTGTTAGGTACAGTCTCTTGTTGTAGTTGTGTCCCGCACCCAGGAGGTGTGCGGCCCCGTGTCCCCTTCTGTGGGAGCACACCCATCCCCCCCTCGTCTCCTCTTCCCCCTCCCTCCTCCCTCTGCTTTTTAATATAACTAATTAAAGTCTTTGGTTGCACTCAAGCCAAAGAAGTACCTCTGAGACGGTAGTTTAGTCTCTTTTAGTCAACCTTTGTCTTTGACTAAGGATGACAGTTTATGCTGGTGATATTTTAAATGTGGAAACATACCCATTTGGGGACAAGATAAAAATCAGACATAAGCAAGTGAGAGAAGAGCCTCATTCTTTGTTTCTAACCCGAGCGCTAACAGCAGGCAGTGACTAACTTGTCATCTATATTATTTTTGTTTTGAGTTTCTAAGCACCTGATCTTCTGTAGTATCTAAGTGCAGGGGATTTTTCCAGTCTCACACACCTGTCTAATTGTTTAGTAACCCCATGCCATTGTGTGGGAGGCACTAGGAGAAGCCACTGCTTTCTCTGTTTCAGTTAATCCTGTGAATACTGATGATATTGCTCTTATATAGGGTGCACCTAATTAAAGAGTTTCCCTAACGATTTAGTCTTGCGTTAGCCTTGTCTGCTCTTTATGTGACCAGCCTGCTCAGGAGACTTTCAGGTCATCTTGATCATGCTGTTGAAATGTCCTTGTGAAAGAGTAATTCCAGCTTTTACATCATGGAGCTAATACTGTACTCTTGTGACTTAAGAATCATAACAAATTTTCTCACAACTCCATCTTGAATAGCGATCTGATGGTGAAGAGAAGACATTGACAGGGGATGTGAAAACCAGTCCTCCACGAACTGGGCCAAAGAAACAGCTGCCTTCTATTCCCAAAAATGCTTTGCCCATAACTAAGCCTACATCTCCTGCCCCGGCAGCACAGTCCACAAATGGCACACATGCTTCTTATGGACCCTTCTACCTGGAATACTCTCTTCTTGCAGAATTGTAAGTTCTTAAACTATTTGGTTACATTATGAATGATCCTTGAAGGTGAAGAATTAAATTTACTCTGACGAACTCAGTCATTTAATCTTAAAGCTCACACCCATCCCCCTCCAATATTAGCCTTAACAAATAGAGAGCTATGGAAGCTCTTGCTGGTGATAGTCTTTCTTGGCCAGGTGCAGTGGGTTGCACCTGTGTTCTGAGCACTCTGGGAGGATTGCGTGAGGCCCGAAGTTCAAAACCAGCCTGAGCAAGAGCAAGACCCTTCTCCACAGAAAAACTGACTGGGCATTATGGCATGCACCTTTAGTCCCAGATACCATGAGCTTATCACTTGAGCCCAGGAGTTTGTGAAGTTGCAGTGAGCTATGATGACACCACTGCAGTCTAGCGCGAGCATCAGAGCAAGACTGTCTCAAAAAACAATCTTTTACCATTAAGACGTAGGTGATGTCATATAAATATGCTCTCTTAAATAGGATGATTCTTAGTTAAAAGCAGATGTATACTTTAATTTCCATGTCTGTTTTGAAGAGTAAGAAGATGAAGAAACTCAGATTTATTTAAAAACCTGCTGTAGACCAAGAACTTAGTAACTTAAAATTTGGTCTTTCTTTATATCAGTGGTTCTCAGCCTCCCTAATGCTGCGGCCCTCTTAGACAGTTCCTGTGGGTTGTGACCCACAGGTTGAGAACTGCTGCTTTATATGAAGTAAGGCATCTACCACCTAAAGAGGTTTTAGAGGGTGGGACAGGTTGGGGGGGGGGAGTGGCAGTCTGTTCTGTCTTGGTTCAGACCCATCTGGATGACTGTGCTCTGTTTCTGGTTATCACCATGTAGGAGGCATTCTGACAGTCTGAGGAGTTAGGGGGAGGAGTTAGTCCCAGTTAGGGGGCGTGATCAGGGGATCAATAATCGAAGGAATTGTAATGCTGGCTTGGAGAAGAGAACTCTTATTAAAGTACTTATTAAAGCTGCCTTCGTATATCTGAAGGGCTGTCATTAGAAGGGAGTTGACTTACCTTACCTTGTATGACCCTAAGAACAGGACTTGGCAATCATGGGGAAGTCAGAAAGATTTAGGTTCCGTGGAAGTAAGAACCTGGTGAGGAACAGGAGTGTGCAGAGCACTGAAGTTGCACCTATCTCAGAGCGCCAGGAGCGGAGCCCTTGTGCAGAGAGATGGTAGTGACGACACAGCCCCAGCAGGCATGGGAGCTGGGCTTGGATCACACACAGACCAGATGGCATTTGATACAATAATCTGTTGAAATGACAGAAAGTTTGGAGAATTCTTAATTCTGTCATTTAAAAATTCCTTTGTACATGTATATGAAGTCCTTGACTCCTCCTTCAGTGCACTACTGCTGAAATGGTCAGAGGCCTCACTGTAAGAGGCTGGTGTGATTCGGTAGCTCTGGTCCCTTTAGCTTTATAATGGAGGGCTTGTGTTTGTGGATGGTCAGTGAGTTGGACAGGCTGCTACTCTAGTGATCAGATCTGCTGCCTATATTAGAACACAGAATTGCCTTTTATGCAGGAGATACAGCTGGCAGCCATGTTGCTGTCAACTTGCTTTAGTGACTTAAAAATGGGATAGATAAATTAAAATGATTAAGTATGATGGCAAATAAGTAATAAAAACAATAAACTAAGGCCAGATAAACTAGTTCCTGACAGAATTCAGGCGTCAGGCGTGTGGTCTGGTCACAGGCTTGTCCCTTTCGGTCCCTGGCTGCAGTTGCAGGGAACAGGGCAGAATAGCTGTTGGTGGGCGACTGGTCCCAGAGTGTATCCATCTCCCCTGGTTTTGAGCAGTTTCAGTTTAGGTGTCTGCAAGGGGGTCTTTTTCAGAGCACAGCGTGTGACGCCTCGCCTGGGTGCTGCCCTCACTGAGCAATGCAGCATACCTAACACTGTCCTCTGTTGCGGGACTGGGGGCTTCAAACTTAAAATCACAAAAGATTTATACAATCTGAAGAGAAACTAGAGTACTAGTCATTCTCACTCTAAATGACAACTAAGTGACAGCAAGTCTATGAAATCTTGGTTTGTTCTTAGTCACCTAAAATTGTATTGAAAAGCAGTTTCTGAATGTGTGTGTGAGACCTGTCACCTGTGGGCACTAAGGCAGTAATTTTATAAATACTCTTACTGACCTTAAACTTAACATCCAGAATTTACCTCAGGTTGCATTGTTCCGAATCATCTACAAGCTGGTTTCCAAGATGATGTTTTGGAAGAGCTGATTTCTGGGAGGAAAACTTTATTTCCTGTGTGATTTTAGTCTCTTAATATGGGGCATTTTTTTGTTGGCTCACACGTGCTCTATGGACTTCTGTAGGGAAGCCAGCAAGTAGGCAGCCGTCAAGGCCACTGCTCAGAGCTGGGTCAGGTGAGAGATTGTGATAACTTGCTTGTATGGTTTGAGCATCAGCTGTACCTGAAGGGACCATTCATTGTCTTAAAAAATGAATGTGGGGTGATCAGTATGTGTCATTTATATCCATGCAAGTTAATTATTCTGCTTTTGTTTTAGTACCTTGGTCGTGAAGCAGAAGTTACCAGGGGTCTATGTGCAGCCCTCTTACCGCTCTGCATTAAGTAAGACAAGGCCCCCTCTCAATTCACAGCATGCTTGCTTCCTCTCACACAGATGTGGCCCTGACCATTTTTATTTTCCCACAGTGTGGTTTGGAGTGATATTCATACGGCATGGACTTTATCAAGACGGAGTGTTTAAGTTTACAGTTTACATTCCTGATAATTACCCCGATGGCGACTGTCCGGTGAGTTGGAGCTAGTCTGGTTTCATTTGTGGGTCAGCAAGGGAAGCTTGAGGGGCTTACAGCTTTCTTTAGGTTTTTCCTAATACTTTCGTGATTTCAAATTCCAAACACGTCTGTCTACCCAGTCGTCTTCCATGGGCATCTGTTTCTTTTGCGGCTTCGGGCATGCCGTCCTTTGCTTTTAGCTTTTAGCTTTGGTTAGGGTGTGCAGTGAGGCCATATGCTGGCCTGCAGCCCTTACTGCTGTGAGGGTGAAGGCCCCTGGGCTGTGGAGGAGAATGGCTTTTCCCTCTTCATTGCAAAATTTAGTTATACAGGAAAACAGTAAAAGTAGTTAAGCGTCCCTTTTGCGGCAGCTTTTTGATTGTAAACATTTTTACTTCCTAAAACTCCCTTTACCACTATCTCTGTGGGCTAATAAGCTCCACGGCTTCCATTAAAGGCTGTGTCTGTCTTTCTCTAAATACAGCGCTTGGTGTTTGACATCCCTGTCTTTCACCCGCTGGTTGATCCCACCTCAGGTGAACTGGATGTGAAGAGAGCATTTGCAAAGTGGAGGTGGGTGAATCCGTGTTTCTTTTAGTTGACATCATACAATAGGAGGAGCCTCAGTAATGACGCTGTTTCCCTTTAGGCGGAACCATAACCATATTTGGCAAGTATTAATGTATGCAAGGAGAGTTTTCTACAAGATCGATACGACAAGCCCCCTAAACCCAGAGGCTGCAGTACTGTATGTCACTTCTGTTTTGTTATTCAAGACAAATTGGAAGATGCAGCTAAGTAGATTAAGTTGGTAACTTTTTGATTTGAACTTTTAACACAGGTATGAAAAAGATATTCAGCTGTTTAAAAGCAAAGTGGTTGACAGTGTGCAGGTGTGCACTGCTTGTTTGTTCGACCCTCCTAAAATAGAAGACCCCTATGCAATTAGGTAAGTGGTGCATCATCGGAATGACCGTCCTGTCCAGCACGCTGCTTCCATTTTCTAGGTAGTCTGGGAATGGGGATTAAAGCATGTGCAGCTCTTAGCGTGTACCCTTCGCAGCCTGGGTCCACTCCATCTCTGATACCTTTTAGGCTCTTAAAGAAAAGCTGTGCATCTGACACCTGTGCCAGCAGCAGCTTGTTTAGTGACTGGCTTCCCTGAGTTTCTCTCTAACTCCTCATTCATTGACATGGCAGGACTTTTTTCAGTTAGATGGAGACTCTCTCCCTCCCTTGCCCTTAAAACGGCAAACCCACGTGGACATTCTGATTTGGTAAAAGGAGGGAAACGGAATCATATGAAAGTAGTAGGTTACTGTAGCACCGCGATACTTGATCTTGGGAACAGTGTCTGGAGGGTACTGACAACCCAGGAATTGGTGATTTTCCTCCCTGCCAGTGTTGGCACTGCCTGGAGAGGTGGAGTTGTTAAGAGCTTGGACTCAGAGGTGGGTTGGTCAGCTTGTGTACTTGTGAGCTTTGGTGAGGCGAAGAAATTAATTTTGCTGTGCCTTGACTTCTTAATCTTTAAATACTAGTACTTCAGGGGTTATGCGAGATACTCGTAGGAGATGATGTCTACAGTGTACATGTTGACAACTGATTATTTAAAGATTACTCCTTAACAAGGAATGCTACTTTTAGGGGACTTGGCTTAAATATTGAAAAACAGATGTTATTCACATTTAGCAAGCAAAAAAACCCCAGCACATTAATGTTTTTCTCTCCATTAAGCTTTTCTCCATGGAACCCTTCTGTACACGATGAAGCCAGAGAGAAGATGCTGACTCAGAAAGTAGGTAACCATTCTGAAAGGGCCAACTCTCTTTTCTAAAATGTCTTCATTTGAAACTGTTCTTTACATACAAAAAACTTTTTGGCAAACAAGTTTGTACAGCGCTGAAGTTTCTTCATCAGTCATTTTTTTAATATCTATTTTTGATTGTGCCTAGAAGAAGCCTGAAGAACAGCACAATAAAAGTGTTCACGTTGCTGGCCTGTCATGGGTAAAGCCGGGCTCAGTACAGCCTTTCAGTAAAGAAGAGAAAACAGCAGCAACTTAAGAGATGGTGAATCTGGTGCACCATGCACTTTCCTGCTGGACTCTGGCCTAGTTAAAGCTGACCAATGGCAAAGGACTGCCGGAAGAGTAAAACTGTGTGACTCATGACTGACGATCAGTGTTTTCGTGGATGCACAGGTTCTAACAGCAGGTTCTGGAAACCTCTCTCTGCGTAATACGTTACTTCTGTCAGGAGTGTCTTAGGGTGATTATCTAGTTCAGTACTCCAAATTGTTGGGGACCTTGAGGCTTAAGTATTTTTCTGAATATAATGCTAAAGGTAAGTTGCATTCATTTAAACTAAGCACTATTTAAAAGTGGTTCCAGCTGTACATACGTTAGGGCGTGGAGAAGCGAGGTCTAGAGAGAGCAGGTTCCAAACTCAGCACTTTGAAGTGGAAGATGGTTTGAATCTCAGTCTTCAGCCTGCTGTCTTACTGACTTATCAACTGATATCACTGAGAAAGATATTAGTTGAGAAGAAACCAGAATGCTTGTTCATAGTTTTTTTTTTTTTTTTAAGCAAATTAGTTACTGTATTTTTATGGTAGGAGGGAGAAAAAGTGTTACAACCGTTTCTAATCAAGTCAGGTATTTAAATGATGGTGACTAATGTGTTTAGTAGAGACAAAATAAAACAATAAAGGATTGTTCTTTGTCATTTGTACAGAAAATTAAATACCCTTTCTCAGTATAACTGAACAAAGACTAATTTATAAATGCTTTATTGAAAAATACACTTATCTTCATATAAAATTACAGTAGCAGTAAGTCTCTTGAGAAGTTTTATAAATATTTTTGCAGAACACTATTCTAATTGAACAGTGTAAGTTCCATAGTTCTTTCAGAGCAATATGAAGTTACTTAGTAACTTTGTTTATACTGATTCAATTTATAATTGAATTTTCTCCCTAATAAGATTAATTCAACTTTAAAACTGTTGGAACAATAGTGATTAATAAAGGCATATAGATATCTCAGTGGCTGTTAAATAACGTTTTCTAATTTGTATAAATGGTACTATGTACTAATAAAAACCTAAATTCTCCAACCTATTTTTTTAAACTGCCAGGAATACACCCCCCAAATTTTAAAACGTATCACCTTAATAGACACATGTCTTTAGGTAGAGAACTACCTCCTAAAGGAAGGTCATAATTTTTCATATTAATCCCCTTAATTCAACTTGATTTAAATTCTTTACTTAGCCAGCTAATCCCTACATAACAAAAAAAAAAACTGGAAAATTTAAAACACATGCCCAAAAAGTGGCTACAGGGGCTTTAACAGTTTAAAAAAAGTACAAAAGCATTAAAGAAAATATTGGATGTTTAGCCTGGAAGTTGTGTACTTAATAAAGTTCACATTGTAGAAAGTGCTATCACAAATATACAACAAAATCTGGGTTACAAATCATGCGTTTTACAGCCCTAAAGTGCCACATTTATACAGGTTCATTCAGACATTGCACAGATCAAGCACCGCACCACACAGAACGGGGGTGGGGTTGGGGGGGGAGTGCACGGGGAGCGCATGGGGAGCGGGAGACCCGGGCCACAGACCTGCCCCCCACGGCTGGGAATGCAGAGACCTCACACTCCTGCCGTGTGTTGTGGGAGAAAATACCTAATTTTTGTTTTGCTTTTCATAAGGACTAAAGCTGACCAGAAAACAGGAATGAATTTGAAATATAGTTCCTCGGCTGGAGCGTGTTAACAGAGACCTCTTATATTTGAGCACGCTTCGTTTTCTGTAGTATTTGTAAAAGAAATCCAAGTCTGGATCTGAGCAGCCCTGATGGTAAGCGCTGAAGTGGCAGGAAAAAGGCAGACCGGATGAATGAAAATATCCTGTGGGTACTGGAAGGAGTCGATCCAGTTTCTCACAAATGTCCTTCGTGTTACTAACAGGCTGTCATTAGGGAAAGAGCTCCACAGTCTAGAAGCATTAAGTGATGCTACTGAACAGTTGTGAAGAGACCGTTTCAGCACAAGAAACTAACCTCAGTGGGAACCTCGGTCATTAGCTACATCTTGGAGACGGCGTAGTAAGGCAGAATGATTTTCCGGGCAAATTCTTTTTGCAGGTGATTCGCTTCCATCTTCCAAAAGAATTCCTCTCTTTTTAGTTGGAGTTTCTCCTGTTCGTATCATACTGTTTATTTCTCTCAGTCTCTATGGTGAGGAAAAAAATAGACATAAAAACTTTAAAATGCAGCTGGGTGCCCATAGCTCAGTGGTTAGGGCGCTGGCCATGTGCACTGAGGCTGGTGGGTTCAAACCTGGCCCAGGCCTGCTAAATAAGAACAACAACAACAAAAATAGCCAGGCGTTGTGGTGAGTGCTTATAGTCCCTGAGGCAAGAGAATCGCTTGAGCCCAAGAATTTGAGGTTGCTGTGAGCTAGGATGCTACCGCACTCTGCAGAGGGCAACAATGTAAGACTGTCTCATTTAAAAAAAAACTTTAAAATGCTAATAATGCACATAGTTCAGTATTCAGTCAAAAAATCTCAAATGAGTTAAGCAGTTCACCTGGAAGAACTTGAACAACATCCTTAACAGAGAAAGGAAACACTACATAATCTGGCTAATGTAGCCGGCTGAGACAGGTGACTATTTGGGTAAGAGCTGAATGTTTCTATTTTTAACAATCTTTTCCATTGGTGTTTTGATATGTACATTTCCATAGTGCACAAGTTGACAAATCTGATTTTTTTCCAATAATTATAGAGCACCACATTACCATGTGTAGTCACACACATTTATTTTTCTTTTTAAAAAAGGGGTCCTGGTCAGGCTGGTCTCAATTCCTGGCCTCACTTTTCCTATCTCAGCCTCCCAGAATTATGGGATTACAGGTGTAAGCCACTGTGCCTGCCAGTAAGTCCTTTTTATTGCTAAGTGGTAGTCTAGATGTACTATGGGTTTATTTATCCATTAACCAGATGAAGGACATTTAAGTCGTTTCCCACTTTATGGCAATTAGAAATAAATTCACTATAAACATTCCTGTACATGTTTTTGGTTTTCTTGTTTTACCAAGGCAAGGAGGGTTTATTGAGAAAGACAATGACTAGTTTACAGAATAACAGCAAGATATATTCACAACATACAGTGAACAGGCCCCCATTGTTGTAACAAGGACAAGACAAAGAGGCTGTTGATTCATGTTTTGAATAAACCTAAGTTTTCCTTTCACTTGGGCAGATACCTAGGAGCGGCAGTGCTAGCTGGATGGTGAGGGTGTATTTAACTTTCTGAGGAACTGTCACGCTGTATTCCAGAGTGGCCATATCATTCTGTATTCTCATCAGCAATAGATAAATGGTCCAGTTACTCCACACTGTAGCCAGAACTTGTTACTGCCATTGCCTAGATTTTGGCAGTCATGTAATGGGTGAAATGTGTTCAAATCATTTGTCCACTTCCATGTGTGGTGGTTTTCTTGCTTAATTTTGAGAATTATGTGTTAGGCATATAAAAATCCTTTATCAGATAGGGAATTAGTAAAGTTTTTTCTCAGTCTGAGGCTGTTTTTTAATTGTCTTACAAAGAACCGAAATTCTTAATTTTGATGAAATCTACATTATCAATATTTCATGTGCTTTTGACATATCTAAAATTTTTCCATAACGTGGAAAATATGGTCAATCATGTGGTGATTGTTTTCTTCCAGAAGTTTTGTAGTTTTGGGTTTCATATTTATGTCTGTGGTTCATTTTGAGTTTTTATATATAGTGCAGGGCATGGAAGCAACTTTTATTTGATCTATGGATATCCACTTGTTCCAGCACTATCTGTTGGAAAGACGATATATCCTTTCCTCAGGAAACTGCCTTTGCACTTTTGCTGAAAACCAGTTGACCACAGCTGTGTGTATTTCTGGACTCTTGTTCCACTGATTTAGATTTGGGGGTATAAGTGGTTTTGATTACGTGGCTATGTATTAGTGAGATCCTGGGCTGTTGGCGTGCCCATCACCTGAAGAGGTGCACTGTACTCAGTTTTTCCAGTGTCCTTTATACTCCTGTCTGACCCTGCATGCCCAGAGCAGTAGAACCTCCATAGCCGACTACCTCCCTACACTGACCACCTCCTTTAAGGTGACCTAATTTTTTTTTCCTTTCTTTCTGTAGAGACAGAGTGTCACTTTGTTGCCCTCAGTAGAGTGCTGTGGCATCACACAGCTCACAGCAACCTCCAACTCCTGGGCTTAGGCGGTTCTCTTGCCTCAGCCTCCCGAGTAGCTGGGACTACAGGTGCCTGCCACAATGCCCAGCTATTTTTTTTGTTGTAGTTTGGCCGGGGCCGGGTTAGAACCTGCCACCCTCGGTGCATGGGGCCGGCGCCCTACCCACTGAGCCACAGGCACCGCCCAAGGTGACCTAATTTTCAGACTGGATATGTACCACATGCACGTACACAGTACAGCAGGCCTAGTTCCTTACGTTGTCTGTTGCTGTATGTTGACCAGCTTGTTACAGCAGCTTGGGTGGTCAACTTATGGAGGGTCTACTCTGTGTGTGCACACCAAATGTTCCTTATCCACTCATTAGTTGATGGGCACTTAGGTTGATTTTTGTTTTGCGGATGTGAGCTGTGCTGCAGTAAATGTAATAATGTAGGTGTCTTTAATAATGGGGTAAGGTGGAATCTCGTGCTTTTGATTTGCATTTCCTTGATGATTAGTGATACTGAGTATTTTTTCATGTATGCTGGCTATTTGTATAGCTTTTAAAACATGTCTGTTCATGTTATTTGCCCACTTTATTTTTTTCATTTGCCTGCTTTTTTAATGGAGTTTTTTTCTTGATCTGTTTGTGTTCCTTGTAAATTCTGGATATTAGCCCTTTGTTGAATGCATTGTTTATGAATATTTTCTTCTATCTGTAGGTTATCTGTTTACTCTGTTGATTATTTCTTTTGCTGTGCAGAAGCTTTTTTTTTTTTTGCAATTTTTGGCCAGGGCCAGGTTTGAACCCACCACCTCTGGTATATGGGGCCGGCACCCTACTCCTTGAGCCACAGGTGCCGCCCTGTGCAGCAGCTTTTTAGTGTAAGTCCCATTTATTTATTTTTGCTTCTGTTGCATTTGCTTTTGGAGTCTTGGTCATAAATTTATAGCTTACCAGGGGTCCTCAAACTTCTTAAACAGGGGCCCAGTTCACTGTCCCTCAGGCCACTGGAGGGCTGGACTATAGGCCCTGGGATGAGCTGGCTGCTAAGCAGGACAGGCAGTGGCGACAAAAACACCCGGCGGTCTGCATGTGCCTCACAGGCTATTGTTTGTGGACACCTGGCTTAGGCCAATGTCCAGAAGACATTTTCCCAAATCTCTTCTAGAATTTTTAAGGTTCATGTCTTTAATCCCTATTAAGCTAATTTTTGTGTATGGTGAGAAGTACAGATTCAGCTTCATTCTTCTGCAGACAGCTGTACAGTTTATTGAAGAGGCATCCTGCCCCGGTGTCTGCTTTGGTCAGAGAGCAGGTGATTGCAGGTGTCTGGCTTTAGTTCTGTGTTCTCTAGTCTGTTCCACTGATTGACATGTCTACTTTTGTACTAGTCTCATGCTGTTTTGGTTCCCTGTAACTTTCTAGGCTTGTTCGTTTTTGCTTAGGATTGCTTTGGTTATTTGGGCTCTTTTTTTGGTTCTGTATAAATTTTAGGATTGTTTTCTCCAATTCTGTGAAAAATGACATGGTATTTTGGTAGGAATTGCATTAAATCTGTACATTGCTTTGGGCAGTCTGGTCATTGTAACCATATTAATTCTTCCAGTCCACGACACTGTGATGTTTCCCCCTTTGTGTCATCTATAATTTCTTCTATCATTTTTTAGTTTTCCTTGTAGAGATCTTTTACTTCCTTGGCTAAAAAATCTATGCCTAGGTGTTTTGTATTCTTGCAGCTATGAAACAATTTGAGCTCCTGATTTGATTCTTGTCCTGTTACTGGCACGTAGCAGTGCTGCTGACTGGTGTGTGTGCCTCTGTAACGTGAAACCTTCCTCAGTTCCCTTGTCTTTTCACCCACACTACACTGTCTGATTATTACAGCCTGATAATAAGGCTTGAAGTCAGATAGTATGAGTCCCCCAACTTTTTCAGAATTGTTTTAGCTATTTCTTTTGCCTTTTGCTATAAATTTTAGAATCAATTTGTGATTTTTGTTGATGTTGAGACAGGGTCTCACTCTGTTCCTTGAGTTAGAATGCAGTGGTGTCATCATAACTGTCAGGCCAAAGTGATCCTCCTGTCTCAGCCTCCTAAGTAGTTGGGACTACACGAAAACCCAGGGCCAGCTAATTTTTTTTAATTTTTATAGAGACTGG